TGTGTTATCAATTAGGAGCCCATTGATGGATTCTATACAGTCTGGAAGGGCCTGGGGCTGGACATCTTACAGATGTAAATATCAGACATGTGATAGCCTACAGAGTGCATTAATTCTGCTCTGGAAGGGGCAGGGGCTGCAGGAGGAGGAAAAGGGGGAACTTTGAGGTCGCCCTTCACCCTCTACCACACCTCTCACATTACAAGTAAGTGCTCAAGCATGTGGACTTTGGGACGCAGCCACTGCCTGGTAGAATGTCACAAAACTTCAAATGCAAGCAAGCCAGTGCTTAAGAACCTAAATATTGCCAATAGCTGCTTGTAAACTGAGCTGTGCCAACCAACCCTTGCCAGGCAGTGGGTTCTACTTGAGATACACTCTAAGAATGACCAGAGTTCAAGGTCTGGTCTTTAGCTACATTCAATTTACTTCAGCTATTTCCACCTTGATTTTTCAGACCCCTTCACCCATACCTTAACAACAAACAGTGAAAGGAAACAGCATTTTGTAGGAGCCCTTTTTCCTAAAAAAAAAAAATGTTCATGAGGCTCCACCCAGTGCCTGGAACATGGCAAGTGCTAGGCTACTGAGTTACACCCCAGCCCTTGCAGGGATGGCTGATGATTTATATAGCTGAGTTTTACTCTAGTCCCAGTAAAAGAAGGGAATCACAGAACAACAGATGAGCTGTTCACTCTCTGATTCCCATGCAGTGGTCCAGCTTCATAACAGAGGAGAATCACTGGGAAGGGAACATCCCAAAGTTCCAGACCCTCTGATAATCTATCGATCTATCTACTTTCTTTTCCTTCACTCTTCTTCTCCATCTCCGACCTCACACAGAGGAGACTGATTGCCAACTCTTCTTCACCACACCAGACCCCAATGGGCTGCAATTTCTCTCAACTTAAAATATTCCCTGATGCTTAGAATCCTCCACCATTTTTTCCAAGCAGACCTGGAGAGTTCATATACTCAACTGTCTACAGCTCCTCTGCCTCCATCCCGAAAGCCTGAGCCCTCCAGGACCAGCCTTGCCTCCCTCTCCACCATTCTTCCCCACAAACTGCTGGCCCGTCATTAAACACCGTGGCTGTCTTTCTAGCCCTTGCCCTACTGGAGAGGCTCAACACAGCTGCTCTCTCCTCTGTCCTGAAGTACTTCCTTCAGGAAGACACCCTCTTGACCCCCAACCCCTGCCTGCCCTGGACTGACAGTCCCTCTTCTAATTCCTTTCCTGATTACATCTTTTGCAGCGTCCTCTAAGTGACAAGGGACCCCAAGACTCCATCTTTGGAGTTCTTTTCTACCCTAATAGCCTGCTACATGATTATAGTCACATGACACAGGTGCCACATAGACACAATGAGTTCCAAATTTAAATCTCTATTCTGTCCTGTCCCTAGGTTCTAGACTTGCATATCCAGCAGTCTATGAGATTTTTCTACTTGAACGTCTGCCAAGCATCTAAAACTTTACTCTTACCAGATATCCTATTCCAGTCTTGTGATACTCCAACACGATACCCATCCCCTCTCTATGGGCCCTCTACTGCATCCAAAGCAATAGCTGAAGTCCTTACAATGGCTGGGGAAGCAAGGACATCAGGGATTTGGCCCAGAACGATCTGACCTAACATCCTATCCTGTTCCCTAGGCCCCTTTCACCCGACCACAACCACAGTGGCCTTTTTGCAGTTTTTGAGCATAAACAAAATTCGAAGCCTTTGCCTGGGTTATCCTTCCTTCAGTGATGCCCATATCTACAAGCCCCACCTATTCAGATCTCGTCAACAAGTCCCTGTGTAAAAGGGTAAAGTCCTGAATCTCCAAACCTCAGCGACACCTAGGCCTCATCTCCAAGTCACTTTTGCCTGGTCACACGTGCTCTCATCTGATGTGTGCTCCTGTAACAGAACCACACCCCGAGGAACTCCGAAGCGACAGCCGGCATTCTGGAGATCGGGAAGCCTAGGAATGAGAGGCTGCGTGTGCTGAGGAGTGTCTTGCTATACTGCAGCATGGCAGACGGTATCACATGGGTGAGATGGCCCAAGATTGAACTCAAACGCTTGGATAACTGGCATTAATCCATTTACGAGGGTAGAGTCTCATAAGGTTTTGGGGGATGGGGGAGACAAAGTGACCTCGAAGGAGCATTGACCACCACTTGATGTACAGTTTTTTATCTGTTTATCATCAGTAACTCTCAACCTCTAAATAAGCTCTTTGTTCTGTTTATATAGCTTTTGGGCCAAGTATTTATTATGTGGCACAGTGTTTAATAAATACTTATTGAATAAAGTCCAGTTCTGTATATTTATTCTAGTTAGTGGCTAGGTGCTGATGAAGACTTGGGGAAATTGCTTCTGTACTCAACAAGAAAAAGGCATGGTGCCCTTATTATTAATGATGGTGCTAGACCCCAACAATGAGCTTGCTGTCAAAAACTTGGGACAGATAAAAGATAGTAAGGAAATAGGGATGAGGCCCTGGCTGTTATCTGCTCCAGATCTGCTAAGGCCTGGTCCTTCACTGAGGTAGGAGTTCCTAGCAGAGGCAAGAGTGTCACCCTAGACTCCATGTGTGTATGTACCACCCTCATTCTGCCTCAGTCTACTCTTGTGTATGTATATAGATAGTATGTGTAAGTATGTGTGTATGCATGCATGTGAGTGTAGACAGATGTGCATGAGCCACACAGCACACGTATAGAAGTCATAAAGACAACCTTGGGTATCATTCCTTGCCTTCTATCTTCTTTAAGAAGGGGTATCTTTTGGTGGTTTGCTGCTGTGTATGCCAGGTTAGCGGGCCCATGAGCTTCAAGAGATACTCCTGTTTCCACTTCCCATCTACTTTAGGATTAACGATGCACACTACCACACTCAGCTGTATGTGGGTTCTGGGGATTTGAACTCAGGTCCTACTGCTTTGTGGCAAGCATTTTCCCTATTGAGCCATCTTCCCAGCTTCAGCCTGTCCTTTCTTATTGTCCCAGTCACATAACCAGAAGTTAATGAACTCTCCTCAGAAACTCGACACCAGCCTGAGGATGTATTTTCAGAGACATGTTAACAAAGGTGCTGTCTACCCAAAAGGAGTGAAAAAAACAGCCTTCCACATCTGTGCGTTCAACCAACAGCAGCTTGAAAATGTGTGAAAACACCTAAGTGCACTGAATGGTGTAGGCTTTTCCGAGTCATTCCCTAAAGAATGCAGTGTGGCAGCCATTTACATACCATTTGCATGCTTTTAGGTATTACAAGTAATCTGGAGATGATTTTAAATATAGGAGAGAAAGCACAAATGCTGTATGCAAATGTCACACTATTTTGCATAAGGATTGAGCTTCTGCAGATTTTTGTGTTCACAGAGGTTATCCTAGAACCCAACTGAGGAGCTACTGTAGTCTGTAATCCCCTTGCTTTATTTATCTTTTCCTGATTCTAAAAACAACTTGTGCTCAGTTAGAAATGAACAATACTCCAGCATCCTTAAAAGATACCTACTAAAATTATTCAATGGGTCCCTAGATCTTATATAAATGAATATTGTACTATTTTTTTTTCCTTACTAATTCAAGTGGAAACCTCTGAAGTCAGTGTGACTTTTAACACTTTGAACAGATAGCGCTAAGCTACCCTGTGTGTTTTTGGAAAATACTTATACCTTATTCTACAGAATTCTACTCACAGATTGTTATTGCAGCAATATGTCTCATGTTACTGAGCTTTTTTTTTGAGAAGCAATGAACCTGAGAATCAAGTGTCAACTCTGCGGCTCGTGCCAACTCTGGAATCTTCCATTATTAACCTTCCTTTCCTATTTCATGCCCTTATAGACTCTCTTTTAATGGAAACTATTCTCACTTAACTTCTTGTGTAGCAGTAAACCCCACCTGCTCCAGGAGACTTCCGTATTCTCTGACCAAATAAAACTGACTGAATATGTGATGCACCGTGGCTCAAAGTATGTGCCTGGCAGACGAAGGTCGGATCATTTATCTAGCACTTATAGCTTCATTATCCCCTAAGAAGTTGAAAACTCTTTCTTTCTAGACCCAATAGGCTCCCTGTTTGTGTATACAGTTCCCAAAGACTACAATCCCTCCCCCAGGCAGAGCCTGTGGGGTCCTAGAAGTAAATATTCTGGTCCTCTGGCCTCTGTCCTGAGTTTTATGTGTCTGTAAGAGTCCTGGGGCTTGGGAAATGTAGACCTTCATGCTTAAGGCTTAGCTCCTTCAACTTCCCAGCATGTGAAGGCTTGGGACCTTTCTGAGTCTTGGTAAAACCTGAAACTTGAGGCTGGTCTTATTTCTGAAAGTCGTCCCAGCTCTTCAACGGGAAAGCCTCTAGGTCTTAAGATCTCAACCAAGTGTAAGTGTACACAAGGCAGTGAAGGAGAGGAACTTGGAACAAAACCTCCAGGGCAAGAAAGGAGAGACACCGTGGTACTCCGAAACTGCAGGCTACCGTATAAAGGGAGGCTCGATGAGCTACTACCCCTTCATATAATGGCATTCAGTGAGATAAAGAAGAACGTGCAGTCTCAGCCCATAGTGTAATGGTGTGGATTCTAGTAGTGGAAAACCCTCCCATTGTTCATCTAGAAAACTCTAAAACCAATTGAAAGATTACTGATAGAAAATGCAAATGCAGATGAACATCTCCTATTATAACAATAGCTGGGTCTCTGACATAGCCTTTAACATAAAGAATGTAAAGCTCCTCTGGAATAAGAAGCTGTATCGGGGAGCCTGGTGTGGTACTTGGCATGTACTATATATACAGTTGTACAATACATGCTTAATACATACCAACTTGATAGTCTTCCCTTCTTTCCTACAGAGTTAACTTTCTCAAGAAACATATACACTTACAAGTATATAACATTGTCCTTTAGAACGAAACAAAAACATTTGAGGCAGTACATTTATTTGTTCAATGTGAATAGGGAGGATGCAGTTCACCTTTAAGAAATGAAAAACCAAATACTGACCTGAATTTAAGTCTCGACCCGGGTTGAAGGCTCTGCTGTTCACGGTAGTAGAAAGTCGATCACAACTCACTGTCCTCGATACGTTGGTATTAAAGTTCCCATCAAACCTGAAACAACAGGGCAGGATTAGCAGTGTGTGTATCTGGTGGGTTTCTCATCTAAAAAAAAAAGCCACCAACAAAAACAATCATTCATACCATGTGTGAACAGGCTAGCCCGTAAGTAGTAGGGGATGGTAAATTAACAACAACAACAACAAAAATAGTAAAAATGATTTCTAAATAATGGGTGAGGAAGAGGAGTACCTGCCTCTAGAAGGCTTAGCAGTCAGGTTCAAATGCCAGGAGATGAAAACTGAACTTTAGAAGCCAATCTTCCTCAAGGAACTTGAGTATACCGATGAAAGCTTATGCAAAGTAGATGAGAAGACAGAGACTTGAGAAGCTGCCAAACAGTTTTTCACTGTACTGCATCTGACCTGTAGAGGTCAAGTCTGCGAATGGGAGGAGAAGGGAAGTACCAACCAGGGAATAGAAATCTCCCTGTCCTGTCACTCACGACCCAATGTATGACCTGGAGAAACTTAGTGTTCTTATTTGGGAAAATAAACAAATAAATGAAACTTACTTTCCAAAGTTTTCAAAAGGGTTAAGAGTCATGTGTGGATAAGCTTCTCTTGGAACCTGACTGAGAAATGGCCTCTGCCCTGCTGCCATTCAGAGAAAGCTGAAATTTCTTGATTTCTTATAATAGTTCAGTGTAAGTACTAAAGGCACAACAACGTTAGTACCCAAGCAGATGGATCACAGTTGGAGCCGGCAAATCATTTGCTCAAGAAAACAACAATCTGAAAGAACCTACCAGGACACACATTTATATAGTCGGTAAGGAAAGACAAAGAGCTTCCATTTCTATATTCTATTTCAGATTCCCAAAGCAGAGGGAGCTCCCGGAGACTCCAGCAGGCAGTCAAAAACCTCAACTCAACCCCAGCTCTTTACATCTTGTGGTATATTCAGTATATAGCTCATCAATAAACCTGTGAGTGGATGCAGTTCCTTGACTACATGCCAGGAAGGAACTCTCCTAAACTCAAGATCCATCGAATCATTCATGACTTCGGATTATCTGTTGGTCATCTCATAAAATCTAAGAACTGCTGAACTAGATTGATCAAAGGGAGCTGTGTTTTCATATCAGTTTCAACCCCCAAAATGGAAGAATATTTTTAGAGTATCTTCTCAAAGATGAACGAGGGAACTGGGTTTGAAGAGCCCTTTATTCCAGCCACCAGCCCAGTTGAGAATTCCATCAACAGTGTCGGCTGCGCATCAAAGGACTCCGTGGCTTCACTCACACAGTGGCTCTGTTTTGGACTTGTCCCAGTTTGTCTAGAGAGAAGACGGCTTCCTTCGAAGCCACAGAGGAGGACAAAGGAGAGATTAACACAGTTCCAGCTACCTACGTGCACGCTGCTGGCACAACAGTCCACAACTCATTGTCCTTGTGCACCAGCAAACAGAAGTCATTCCCTTCACAAACGCTCTCCCAGAAGGCCGGATAATAATATTTGGGGCTTTGTGGGTCATAAGTTCTGTCGAGACACTTCCACTCTGTCACTATAGTGCACAAGCAGCCACAGAAAATGGAAGACTGAGTGTAACTGTCTTCTAAAAAAATTTAGTTTTCAAAAAAAAGGTGGTGTGTATCTGGGCATGGTGGGACATGCCTTTAATTGCAGGACGCAGAGGTAAGCCTTTGTGAGTTCAAGGCTAACCTGGTCTAAAAGTGAGTTCAAGGACAGCCAGGGCTGTTACACAGAGAAACCCTGTTTCAAACAAACAAACAAACAAACAAACAAACAAACAAACATGAAACAATAACAAAAGGGTGGCCGGCCAAATTGTTTCTTTGAGTTGGACTAGACCAGGGTGGTCCAGAAAAACCTTAGATGAAGAATATGCATGGGTTTTGCTCTGTCCAGTATGGTAATACATAGGTACTAAGCATTTGAAATGTGGTCACTTATTTAAGGTCAAGTGTGAACAGTCACTGAACTGTGGTTGCCATGTTGATCCACTGGAGAAATCTAGAGGGCTCTCCTATTTGCCTGGCTCTCTTTCAGGCCCTATTTGCATATCACTTCCTAAGAAAGATCTGTCCGGATGTTGGATAACTTCCCAAGAATGTCAAGTGCCTCTACATTCTCTCAAAAGTTTGTCTCATATGTTAAATTTATGATTCTATTTATAGGAGGTGGCGGTGTGTGTGTGTGTGTGTGTGTGTGTGTGTGTGTGTGTGTGTGTGTGTGTGGTATCAGCTATGTGGCTGTGAGGTGGCTAGAGGTTGACATTAGGTGTTTTCCTCTATAACATTCTACCCTATTTTTTGAGACAGGGTCTTTCACCAAGCCTGAAGCTTGCTTTTCCCCAGGATCTTTTTTTTTTTTGGAGATAGGGTTTCTCAGTGTAGTTTTGGTGCCTGTTCTGGATCTCGCTCTGTAGAACACGCTGGCCTTGAACTCACAGAGATCCGCCTGCCCCTGCCTCCTGAGTGCTGGGATTAAAGGGTTGCGTCACCACCACCTGGCTCCCAGGATCATCTTGTCTCCACTCTTCCCAGTACTGGGTTTAGAGGTGCAGGTTGCTGTGCTCAGTTGTCACATGGGTGCTGGGGATCTGAACTCAGGTCCTTATGCTTGCGCAGTAAGCTCTTTACTCACTGAACCATCCCCCAACCTCCTCTGTGTATTTTCTTTGTGGGGGGAGGGGGCGATAGATTTTGGAAACTAAACTGCACGAATAGATAAGAAAGGAGAAAACATACAGATCATTTTCTTCTCTGGTGTAATCATAACATTTAGCATTGGTTTAGTCAAATAGTTGCTCATTTTAACTGACTTGTTATGAATACTCATGTGCCCAGTCCCATTCTGAGCCACCCAGAAGGCTCCTGATGTCTTAATGAGAACTGACTCATTTGAATGGTTGCAAAATACTCATCATGTAGCTACACCAGAATCACCCAGGGTGGATGCTTGACTCTGCCTCTGCAGAGCTCGATTTACTGATTTGGGGGCAAGGAATCTGAGTTTGAATGCTTCTGAGGGACAAGAAAGCCCTCCAAGGTTGTCATACAAACTTCTGAAAATAAATTAAGAGAATGGCTTTCTGTATGAACACAGGTAATCCTTATTATCCCTCACAGACACTAAAGACCAAGGGGTTTAGTTCACTAAGGACAGAGGGTCTTCGGATTTGGTTTGGGTCAAGAGAATGGAATAGTATACAGGTATGCCTGTAGCTCATAGCTAGACTTTGCTGTGCAAATTATGAAGCCCCTTTACACCTACCCATTTCACAATGGGAAAAAAGAAAAGAAAAGAAACCTAGGATGTACAGCAAGTAAAGGAAGTAAGGGAGCCTTGGAACCTGGACCCAACTCTTTTGCTAAGAAGAGACACCCAACATTCTTCTAAATGACATAGAAGGAAAATCTTGCTGAAAAGGTCAATTCAAGAAGGTACCTGACATATCCCACTAGGACAATTCTGGTCCAATATAATCCATGTGTACCCAGACAGGGTGTCCCCAGCCAGGACCTCTGCTCTGAGCCTCACCCCCAGAGAGCTGATATCAGAAGGTGAGGGTACACAGACTTCTGGGGTCATTGTGAAGTGAAAGCTGGCTTACTGGAGACAGGGAGACCAAGGAACTACTCTTAGGGTTTCCTTCCTCTATGGAACAGATGATCTCTCAGAGCATTAGAGAGAGCTTCTGCTCCATTACCTTTGTTGACCACAGAACAGTCGACAATGTGGTTTGCGTCATATCCTGTTATTACTGTCTCCCCGCCTTCTCTCCCAGCTCTCCCAACCTTCACTTCTAACCACACCAGACTCAGTACGGGCTTGCCCGTGGATCACCACTGTCCATTGCACCCTCTCTTCAGGACTGACCCATCAGCCCACATTCCTCCCTCCTCCAACATCTCAGCTCAGGGTGGCTTCTTTCTCAACCTGATTGGAGCTTTTTTCCTCTGTGTGTGTGTGTGTGTGTGTGTGTGTGTGTGTGTGTGTGTGTGTGTTTAAATATGTGTGTGTGTGCGTGCGTGCATGTGTGTAGCACTGAATTCAAGGGCACAAGGCAGCCCCCCCCCCCCAGGGCTCTTTCTGCAGTCATTCCCCAAAGGCCTCACTTTCTAATATGACCAGAGT